CAATAAATCAAAAAATCAGCCGGGCACGGTAGCGCGCGCCTGTAATTCCGGCTACTCGGAAGGCTGAGGTGGAAGGATCGCCGGAGCCCAGCAGGCGAGGCTGCGGTGGCCGGGAGCGGCCACTGCACTCCAGTCTGGGCGACAGAGTGAGACTCCAACACAAAAAAAAAAATTAGCCAGGCCTGGTATCACGCGTTTGTAGTTCCAGCTATTTGGAAGGCTGAGGCAGAAGGATCACCTGAGCCAAGCAGGTCTTGGTGGGGTGGCTGTGAGTGTGCTGCTGCACTCCAGCCTGAGTGACTAGTGAGACTCTAACTCCAAAAAAAAAAGTTTTTTGGTGATTTTCACACTTGGATGCAAATCACAATTCTCCTCATGACCCCTCAAGCTAGAAAGTGAATCATCCCATCTTTGTCCTTGAAGGATATTCCACCGAAGTGAACAGAAAAGGAAAAAACGATTAATCAGTGGGGTGTTGTGGAGAAGGACTCAGTTCTGATCTTCTGTGTGGTCCTCTGCGTTGTGTCCTGTGATCTTGCTGCCTCTGGTACCTTTATTCCTACTGGATGCCCTGAGTGTAGCGCAGAGCTCAACGAAGACTCCTTGATCTGGACAAATGAAACTGTAGGTGGCTTTTGCTTTGCTGTCCTGTGTCTTCTGTAAGAAATCTGAGGGCATCCAGACCAACCTCGAGTCGTGGAATGTGCATCTTCCACAGAAGTCATTTGAATTTCAGCTCTCACTTTGCTTTTTTAAAAGTCACTTCTAGGAAGGTTTTTTTTTCCTTGTAGGCTACCTCATAAAAATGTTATCATCTCATTTTTTTATTTGGAAGGTAGAGGAAAAGATCCCTCTTTTTTTAGCTTTTCCTCTTTAAAATTTTTTAAAACTCACTTTGAGATGTTCTCTGTTAGCTGTTAAAAGGCAGTTAACTTTATTTGGAAATTATTAGATTTATTTGGGTGACAAACATATATAAATGAAATTAGTCATTTGCTTAAGACAGATTTTCATTTTCTTTACCAAAAGGTAGGTGCAACCATGCTTGTTTTGTGTGGGTGCTTTTGTTTTTTTATTTTGTTTTGTTTTGCTGTTGTAAGTACTGACCTGATTCTCTAGAAATAAAGGAAAGAAACTAAAGTGGATTTGAAAACATTTTCATTTCACAGATAGTGTGATATAAGCATATGTTCCACCCATGTTTGTTGATCATCTGAATAAAGAAAAGTAAAAAGGAGATGACAAATTATGTCAAACAGGAATAAAAGTTTACCAAATATAGAAAAGAAGAATGTGAAATTTACAATTTGTTTCCACTGTTTCTTTCTTAAACAACAAGATCTTGAATTTTTGAAGCATGTGACCTCCCTTGACTTCCATCTCCACAGATGTTGGCGAGAGCACTAGGATTCTATTTGTCATAGGAGAAGCACTGGACAAGAAGAAAGTGGTCTATATTTTAATTGTAGATTCAGCTAACATTTGACCTAGGCACATGAATTTCATTTCATAAGCCTCAGCTTCCTGGCATGCAAAATGATGCTGAATCAGTTGCTTTCTCAGACCCATTCAACTCTAAAACTCTATTTTATTCCAAAGACCCATTGCACAGATTAACCCAATTTTCAATAAATTCTATATCCGAAATTTCCTGCATTCCTCCAGTCCACAGATCTAAACGCATGTGAACTTAATTACATTTTCCATCCTTTAGAGCGAAAGATTTCTGAAGATTTATTTATTTTTGAAGCATGGGTTAACCATTTGGTACATCTCCAGCAGTGAGCTGGGCAATATGAGTAGATAAAAACATAGAAGTATTTCTTGATGGAATTGATAGTTGGACAAGAAACATCTTGAAAATAATTACAAAGCAAATAAAAGGGGGGGGACTAGTTTCAATAAATACATTACAAAATATAATAATAGTTGATATTTATTAGGTACTTTTTATTGCTAGCATTACACTCATTTAATCCTCACCCCTAGTTCAATAAGGTAAATGATGTCATCACCCCAATTTTACAGAGAAAACTGAGGCACCCAGAGAGTAAATTATCCAAAGTTACTGTTCCATGCCGAGGATTTAGAGAGGCTATTTCACTTGGCTTAGACTCCCTGGGATCCTCTCTTGGATAAGTAGGTTTAAGTATTGAGGGAAAATGAAGTAATTTAGGGGTGGGCAGATTGCTTTTGACTTTCTAAGCAGACTCAATTTAGATGAAAAGGCAGAAACAGATTTTTTTTTTCTTACCTTCGTAGTTGGCACTTTTAACTGTCATTTATTGTGAATTTATTTATTTTTTTGCACGTTGCACAAACTTTAAAGCAGTGTAGAAATGGAGAGTCAAAGTGAGAAAACAGTAATCACATGATTACGTGCTTTGGAGAAAACAATCCAAAGAAGAACTAAAACTGGGTCAAGTGCACTGCCGGCAGCGAGGGCTGGAGGGGCTGGGGGAAGTGTACCAGTGTCATCGAGGCAGGTGTTTTCCCTTGGGTGGATTCTTGGGTCTCGCGACCGTCCTTTCAACCTGACTTGCGGAGAAGATGCTCCGCACTGTGTGGCGAGAGCGGGCCCAGTTCTTGCCTCACCTGTCTTCATCAGAGGGGCTCAGGGACGGGTCACTGGTGGGCCTCCTGACAGGTGCTGCCAACCATGTGTTTATACGGGCTCTGGAAGCGGACCAGATGCAGGGGGTGGGGGGGTGCCAACCGTGCCTTCATTCAGACAGGGGCTTGCAGACATTGTCACGTTAGACAGCCTAGCTCCAAAGAGAAGAAAAAGCCTCCCGCCTTGGGCCCATTCCCTCCATACAGAGAAGTCCACTGCTGCATGTTTCTCCTCCCATTCTGCCCTCCGCTGCTGAGAGGAAGAGGGAGCTGCCCGGCGGCCTCTGGCAGTAACCCTCTGCTGGTGAGTTCCCAGAACCCAGCATCCTGCGGGCTGCCGCTCCTTAGCTGGGGATGGAGCCGCTCCCGGCCCTCCTTGATTAGGATGTGTCAGGGTTGTCAGGGCAACTGTTAAAGGCAGTATCATATTTTCCCGTCTCTGCTGTGTGCTGCATATTTTACAGTGCAGAGGCAGGAAGAAGATTGGGGAAAAGTGCCGCAGCAGGAAGGAGAAGCTGGGATCTGACTGAACAGGTTAGGCAGTGGAGGGAGGCACCTGACCCTCGTGCCTTTAATAGGGCTTTTCTGGAAGGAGAGAGAGAGAGAGAGAGAGAGAGACAGAGAGAGAGACAGAGAGAGACAGAGAGAGAGAGAGAGAGAGAGAGAGAGAGAGAGAGAGAGAGAGAGAGTGTGTGTATGTGTGTGTGTGTGTGTGTGTGTGTGTGTGTGCTTGCATGCAGGCCTGTACTCACCAGCGCATGTGCCTGAGGGGGGGAGTAAGTGGGAGGGGGCTGCTGGGGGGGGCTGCTGCTAGGTGAGGGGGGAACTGCGGGGCCTCAGTTGCCAAGTGGCTGGTAGTATCTGTCAGCTGTTTGCAAACTGTTTACCCAGAGGGGATCTATTACAAGTGCTCAAATGAACCGGCAGCTTAGCATCTAGCAGCTTCCTGGGAGCTGCAATTACATAAGCATATATTTTTAATATAATAATAATTAAAAAAAAAAAACAAGTAGCAGCAGTATGCCAGGATCAGCTACAGCTATCCGACAAGAGAGACCGAAGAAGACCAATACAAGGCCAATTTCCCTTGGTTTATTCACCATTAATGAGGAAGATGAGCAGCAAAAGAATGGAAATTCCAGAAGACCTAAAGGTATGCATTAGCTCTACCCTTTGGTCGGAGCCAGATCCAGCCCTCGTTCCCCACACTGCCTATAGCATATTTTAAAAACTGTACCCGTGCATGCTGTGGGGAGTGCTTGTGACCTCCTAGCACAGTTTGCTGGTAGTGTCTACATTCTCTGTAGGACTGTGTGTGTGTGTGTGTGTGTGTGTGTGTGTGTGTGTGTGTGTGTGTGTGTGTTTGCGTGTATGCAATAGGAAGCAGTTTTTGCAGATTTGGTACCTTTCACATCAGGTGCCTTTTTTGACTCAAGCTACTTTCTTGGCCTAGAGATCTTTGATTTTCCCATGAACAGTGATCAGTGACTTTGTCCTCATCAGGAGAAGGAAATATGAGTTATCAAGGTTTAAAGGAATATCCCCTACCTTTTTTAGGTGCATCGGATAATTTCTGTTTAATGAAGGGAGTTTCTCCTTAAAAGGGATGTGTTAAAGTGTCCTAAGAATGCAGTCTTTCCTTGGGCAGAGGGTTGAGATGTCACTTTCTTTTCTATGCTGAAAAGCAAACTTGGAGGTGGGGTACAGGGGCGGGCATGGGGTGGGGTG